CGGTGCTGATGAGCGCGAAGCACCCACCATGAGCGCCCTCCTTTCCTATCAGCGAAACTCGGCAGATGCGTCGGATGCGTCCCTCGGCTTGCAGCCGGCGGCAGATATCCGGGCGTCCGGACCTGTATCGCCAAGCGCGGAGCGGGAGGATAAAAGCTCGGCCTCAGCCTCGCCAGGACTCCTGTCTGGGACACCATTCCGTGGCGTGCGGTACGTGGGCAGGAATCGGCCCACCCCGCCTCACAGCAGCCGTGGATCGTTCTCGGGCGGGCGCTTCGGGGGTCTGTCAAGACCCTCTGGCGAGGATGGAGCCGACGATGAGCTCTTGTTCGCTATGTCTGAACTGGAGAGGCCATCCAGGCGGAGTATTGAAGAGGGCCGGGGCGGTGGAAGCGTTGGCAGCAACTCCGGTTCCAGGCCAGAGAGTGGCGGATATGAAGCCAGAGGCCTCTCGAAGCGGGGTTGGTAAAGATGGGAATAGAGGAAAGGTAGCGCGAAGCCAACTGTCAGGATCTCATATCGGGTCTGTTTTTACTTTACGGCGTTGTACATATGGGAATATCATGGGAGGGCTTGAGGCTTGGGTCCAGGTTGGGTTTCGTTCTACAGGGAGGGACAGGCCACCACAGGTTCGATAGGGTTGGAATGGAGCGGCATTGGGGAGCGAGATGCTTGGCGGTGAATCCATTGGCTTTCTGAGCTGGATGTGTGTCATATACGCGGCTGTCTTGCGCGGCGTCGGGTGTGATGTGGCATTGGGAATAGATTGATCATTGCCAATTCGATTATCATAGGCGCAGCTAGCATAGCGGCATTGGGAATAGCATGCACTCATAGCTCTCTGCACTAGTGTTGGAAAGTTCTACAAAGTCTACCGCAGTCCTGGTATTCTGCCTTGAGGTGTCCATCGCTCATGGGAGCTGATCCTGGAGTCCTAGGAGCCCCTGACGGGATGCTTGGCGAACCTGGTCATAGCTTCACCGTTGACAAGCATCCGCCGTGCCACAGCGGGGTTCGTTGACGCGAGGTTCCAGATTCAAGGTTGCCAGCTGGGCGACATCCCGGCTAAGTCAAGTTGCGAAAGGAAACGACGTTGAAGGGAGATAAATCAATCAATGAAAATAACAACGTAAATAGCAAAAATTTCGTCTTATGTTCATTGCGCTGACAGGCGAGACATACGAGCAGACATGTGAGCGCCGTCAGATGGCCCGCAGACAGCCCGGTGTGGCTGCGCAAGTGCATACGCAATGAGGCGATTGAGTGGGAGCTCAGCGGCAGCCAGGCCTTGCCGATGCCGTCCCAAAATAATCGCTGCGTAAGAGCTCTCCCCGGCTTCAGGGTTGATGATGAAGCACCGGCTTGGCACTCAGGGTTAACTGTGAAATGCGGGGCCCTGCAATCCGTCATAGGCTCCAGCACTGCCCACTCCCAACCTACCTCTCTGTCGTAACGATCATCAACACTCCCACCTTGCGCCCGGAGAGTTCGAGCCTTTCGTTGACTCTCGCAAAGAGCAAAACTTGACCGACCAAACGCACCTGAGTCGACGGCGACTGATTTTCACATCGACTCGCAGCAACGCGGTTGCATCGCCAGCGAACCGAGAGTATTACGTCTGCGGGAGCATCAGCCCGCGGCCCGAGATAAAGCAAATCGTTTGAGCATTGCCGCCGTGTGCCGAGCGATTTGACCAGCGACTGGAGAACTTGCTGCCCTAGATACGCAACAACATTGTCTGCGTCTTCGACGCACACAGCTTTCGCCATGTTCCGAGCAGCGGCGGTAGGGCCATACGATGAGGCCATCAGTACGTCCTCCGGAGCGTGGATACCAGGCTGCGGGCTTGACTGACAAACCTTGCCTCGTAGACAAAGCTACCGATGAGAACCTCACGTCGGAGGATTGGGGGAAGATCATGGAGGTGTGCGACCGCGTGGAGAATGACGCGAACGGCTCTAAGGAGGCCGTCCAGAGCATGATCAAGCGGCTGGCTCACCGGAATGCCAACGTCCAACTCTACACGCTCGAGGTGAGTAATCAACAGGCTTCAAATTTGTTCTGCTTCTTACAGTCGGATGTGGCAGGTTGCCAACGCGCTGTCCCAAAACTGCGGCAAGGCGATGCACCGCGAGCTGTCGAGCCGCGCGTTCACCGACGCCCTCCTCAAGCTCGCCAACGATCGCAACACACACAACCAGGTCAAGGCCAAGATCCTCGAGCGAATGAAGGACTGGACCGACATGTTTAAGTCGGACCCCGACCTTGGCATCATGTACGACGCGTACTACCGCCTCAAGCAGTCCAACCCGACGCTGCACCCTCCCAGCGCCCCGCAGAAGAACAGCCTGACTGAGCTGGACAGGCAAAAGGAAGAGGAGGAGCTGCAGATGGCCCTCAAGCTGAGTTTGCAGGAGGAGGAGCGCAAGAAGAAGCCTGCTGCTGTCGCTGGCCCCTCGAGCTCCGGGGGCGCCGGTGCCGTCGGGGGTCCGTCGCAGGCGAGCACGAGCCAGGCTGCGCCGCTGCAGCCTGCACCGACGGGCACCACCGCTGCGACCGTATCCCGCGTCAGGGCCCTTTTTGATTTCGTCCCTACCGAGCCTGGAGAGCTGGAGTTCAAGAAGGGCGATGTCATAGCGGTCCTGGAGAGCGTCTACAAGGACTGGTGGCGCGGATCGCTCAAGGGCAAGACGGGTATCTTCCCACTCAACTACGTTGAGAAGCTCACGGATCCGACACCTGATGAGCTGCATCGTGAGGCACAGATGGAGGCCGAGGTGTTTGCCGAGATCAAGAATGTCGAGAAGCTGTTGACTTTGTTGAGCACTTCTAACACAGCGCCCAGAGAGGAGGACAACGAGGAGATTTCGGTACGAGCCCCAGGAATATCTCCGGGTCATGAAGCCCAGCTAATCATCGGCAGAAACTCTACCACCAGACACTGGCAATCCGGCCAAAGCTGATCAAGCTCATCGAAAAGTACTCGCAGAAGAAAGGTTTGTGCTTCTTAAAGACAAGAGAGGAAATGCTGACAGTTGATAGATGACTTCACGCAGTTGAACGAGAAGTTCATCAAGGCCAGGAGAGACTATGAGGCCCTGCTGGAGTCCTCTATGTCACACCCCCCTGGACCTACTTATCATCAATATGCCATGAGACCCCAGATCCCGCAGGGCTACCCGACCCCTGGTCCGGGATACGGCGCACCTCCCCCTCAGCAACAAGACCCTCAGCGATTTTACACCCCAGCACCTGCTCAAGGTACGCCGCTGGCCGGATTTGGCGAATTGGGAGGTTGAACTGTTTTTGACTGATGTAAATAATGTAGAATCGTCACAATATCCTCCATCATCCCCATCCCCCAACTTCCAGAGACCTGGCCCTGCCGGGACCCCTGCACCATTCTATGTTGCTGGTGCCGAAGTCCCATCGCAGGTGAACCAACCTCCGGTCCAACAACAGCCCCCACAGCAGCAACAGCAACAACAACCACCGCAACAGCAACAGTACGCCCAACGACCACCGGAACAACAGCAGCAACAATATGGCCAGCGGCCAGACCAGCGCCGGCACTCCAGCGGCAAGCAGCCCGCTCCTCTCCAAACTACCTCGCCCACGGGGACCAGACCGCCCGCGCAGTACAATGCCTACCAGGCGCCTCCCGCCGGCGCACGTCCCCAGAGCACGTATGGCAGTGGGCCGCAGGAGCTGTCGACGTCAGTCTATGACTCGCCGGTTGCGCCTCACAACCCCAACCCTGCAGGGGCATATTCGGGCGCCTCGTACCCTCCGCCTGAGGAAGACCCGTACCACGCTGCTAGCCCCAATGCTGGTCGAGCTTCCAATGCCCCTAATGCGCCGTCCATTGCTCCTCCATCCGTCCCTGGTGCCCCTGCGCCTTCGGCTCCTGGTCCTGGCTACGGCTATGCCCCGTACCAAAACCCGTCTCCACCGCAGCCTTCGCAACCGTATGGCGGTTATGACGGTTATGGTAATGCTGACGGCGGACGTCCCCCGATTCCGCTGGGGCAAGCACCACCAGTCCCCCAGGGCCAAGGACGACCGGATGCGCCCCTCTCACCACCTCCGCTGCAGCCTTCCGGGTCGGCATATGACGCACGGCAGACACTGCCGAGCAGACTTTCGAATGACGGGAGACCCCAGTATAAGGCGTACGTGCCACCAGGGTCAGGACCGGGACCGAGTGCACCGGATGGCCCGAGCGCGCCTACGGATTACTACGGGGTAGTTGCGCGTTAGTGACGGTGAGAAAGGAGCTGTTGATAGCGGTGCGGTAATATATCGTCAGAGATGAGACCCCGAGATAGGAATCCGGGGTCAGATAGTTGATATCCAGCGTTGGTGATGATGTGATTCCATTTATATCTTGTGTTGGTTCAGTGGGCGTATCGTCTAGGCTAGGAGTGCTGTTTGGTGTGGGATATTGTGCAGGTAGCATGCTCGCTTTGCCAGTAACTACAATGACGATGTGATAAGTACGAGTTCCAAACAGGACATGTGACTGAATTCCAGCCATGATTGATTCCTAATGTCAGGCACGACGTTCTAGTGGTTGCAGGTACGTCTGTTGACGTCTGTTGCGTAGCCCCTTTTCTCACTTTAAGAGCTAACATTCTCTAATGATAGCCCCTTTCATAACTCCAACTTACCCAACCTGCAATCTGTCGATATGGAGAAGGTTCCAGGGGAACAGACATATCAAAGATCTCTCAGTCGTGAAGACTCTGAATCAACCAGGCCGCAACAAAACCTACACAAAGGGCACTGTGTTGAGGAAGAAAATGGAAGACGCTAGATGTATTTGTAGTAATAATAAGCAACAGAGACCCAACCCTCTCGTGGAGACTAGCTCTAAGGCATACAAATCATTGCAATGCTCTTAGCCAACCTAGAATTTGACACTATCATCCATCCGTATTCAAGACCCCCCCTTTTGTATCACCCCTCCAACCCCAACAGCCATCAAACCAACTACCCAATCCCCCGTGGCGCAGCTGGCTAGTGCGTCAGACTGTTACTCCTCTCTTCTCCCATGAGAAAGAGAATGGAAAAAGACATCTGGAGGTTCTCAGTTCAATCCTGAGCGGGGGAGGCGTACGATTCCTGGATTCAAATACGGATTCAGCTTTCTTTTTTGGTCGTCATTTTTTTGACTGTGCGGTGGAGTGCGGTGGGTGGATATGTGGCTTCGGTGGAGAGGAATAGGGGCAGCGACAACCCCTATCTTTTGTTGCTGTGGGGTCACGAAGTGGACATCAAGTACGTAGAAGTGAAGAAGTCACGAGGAGCTGATTACCTCCAACCGAAAGAGATGAATAGTATCTATTCTACTCAACACCGACGCCATTCAAGAAAAAACAGATTGCCACCGCTTTCCAAAGCCCTCGGGGGCGGGAGAGAAGTATGTACAAGTAGAAGAAACAGCTGGCTTGTCTCAGCTGGTCGGTAGTTGTCAGCAGGGTACCGACATCACCCTTTCAAAATCACACGCCATGCCCAAATACAGAAGAGAGAGCGCCATCCAACACATATCAACCAAGAACTTGGTTCGACCCAATCCCTCGAAGTGGGGTCCTGTCCCTCGGCTTCTCAATCCGCTCCGCGTACCCTTCCAGCCCCGCCGCCATGATCCGGACAATTTCAAAGATATGCGCGCCCTTGAAGGTTTCCGCCCAAAGCCGGATAACCGCCGACGCCAGCTGCCTGAGCTTCGTGGCGTCTGTGGAGTTTCCATCTATTGCCCGCGATGGATGATGACTGTGACCCCCGCCCAGTGATGGATCGATAGGCACGGCAAACTCGGTCTCGTCCAGCATGCGGCGCAGCGTCTCCAGTAGACTCTTCTCTTCGTTTGTCGGTGGCGGCTCGGCAGGGTCGATCGTCGCTAGGGTCAGCAACCATTTGGAGATCAGCACGGCACATTCGAGGTTACAGACTACAACATCATTGGTGTCAGCACACAACGCATAAACTTCGAAACGCGAGAGACAAATTCCCGGTAACGTGTGCCAAGAGACGGGACTTACGAGAATGCTGCATGCTCCATTCCAGGGATTTGGTCCTCGCGACGTAGTTGACCCCCATCTTGACCAGCATCGACAAGGCGTGGATGGCCTGGACGACAGCACGACAGAGACGCGAGCTGCGCACCAGGAGCGGGGCATCGCTGAGGGCGTTTGCGATCAGTACATGATCGCGCGTCTCCAGACTTCTACTTGGACTGAGATCTGTGTATAGCCTGATATAGGCCAGGCGCAACAGCGCAGTCGAGTTGAAGGCAACGGGACCACCCGGGATGTTCTCATTCCCTGCGGAATGCGCCTCGTTGCCACGCGAAGGCCGGTGCTGCTCGAAGCTGACGCTCCAGACCCGAAGGGCTTGGGCAACATCCTCGACGTCCTCCATCTTCAGGCCCCCGTGGATACCAAATGGCCCAATCATAGGCGATGACGTTTGTTTGAGAAGGAAGATGTGTTGGATGAGGGCGTGGATAAGCACATAGTTGCCCAACGATGTGACTGGGGTGGGCAGAGCCTGCGAAGGGCGGTTCAGCAACCTTGAAAAGGCGTCTTGGAACGGTATGTCGACAGGCGGGTACGCTGGCCGTGTCTCCTGCCATTGCCAAGCACTTTCGGCCTTCCATAACTGCGACGAATTCGGCAGATACAGGTGGATTTCTGAGGTCAGCAGCAGTGGAGGCGTGTTGTACGCGATACTGCAGAGGTTGAAGAAGCAGTATGCGATGAGCTTGGTTCGTGTCGCAGCCTCCAGGCGAATCCACGTCTCCCAGTCGGTGGACTGTTGTGCGCTCTGCTCAGCTACAAGGCCCTCCTCACGAATGAGGAGCGCCAGCAAGCTTTGCAATGACATGGCTTCATGGAGAATGGCTTTCGCGCCCCATAAGCCAACAGCGAAGAGAAGAAGCAGCGCCTGAATAGTCTCAAGGCGGGATTGCGGTGTGTTAGGCGAGCTACGCATGTCAGTACCCTTCCAAGTCAAATCTCAGTTATCTGGTAACTCACTATGGCTCCCGGTGAGTATCCTGGGTCATGGGTCTGTCCTGGTGAACGGAGGGGAAGGAGTGACGGAACCCTGAGCTCGGGGATGGCCGTGTGGAGTGAGGACTGTAGGCGGCCGGTGTGGGAAGCAGCCCGTGGACTTCATGGCTGGACCTCCGTCGAATCTGCTCTAAAGCAACAGCTTTCGCAGCGTACCACAACGCGTGGCCCCTATTCGTTTCGAAACGGTACTGTGCGCCGACGGCCGAGATGGCGAGCAGCAGCTCTGGCGAGAGGTCGGTTGGCATCAAGGTGGGCAAATGAAGAAAAGGGAGGTGGTCGTGAAAGCCGCTGATATAACCCTCCAAGAACCTGTTGAGCGTGTGGCGCGATGGGAAAATAAAGTCGTTTGGGAGAACCGATGAGAATTCGTCGAGGCGGTTCTTGATGGCCGTGTGGTCCATGGCCGATATCCTCCAGTTCGGCGCCCTCATCGGGTCTTCGTGCATTCTCGAACTCCCATCGGCGCCGTTATGGCCGTCTGGTTGGAGCGACGGGAACCTCGACGGGAAGGTTGACGGCGGCTTCGACGGTCCTCCCCTCCCTAATTCACCCCCTTGTCGAGACCATATGCCAAACCCCTGTTCCGCTTCCAGCGACGGCGGCAGGAAATGAGACGATGGTGCAAAGTCGTCTAGGAAAAGGTTGTAGTCGTCGTAGGGCGCCGGCTGCTGCTGCGGAGGATAATCGCCGGGCATCGGCGGTGGCTCTTGCTCCCGGCCACGCTCACCGTAAGACATGCTGTCGGCGTAGCCTTTAACCGGCGCCATATCGGGAGGAGGCTGCTGAAGCCCCTGCATCATGGCAGGCTGCATGCCGCCCACCTCGCCGCCAGAGGCAAGATGTGTCGCCGCGTCGGACAGCAAATCAAGATTGCACGCCGGCGCCCTCGCTGCGAGCCGCGAGTCCGGCGGTAGGGAGGACACGGGAGCCGGCTGCATGGGCTCGGGGCGGTAGATGGGATGCGGTTGCGCCTCCCGTTGCTGCATGCCAATCATCTCGGTGTCAACGTGAGGCTCTGTCGAGGGGCCGGCGATGGCACCGCCCCCGGACGACGGCTTGCGCGGCTGCTTGGCCCCATCTTTGTTGCTGCCTTCATTGAGATGGACAAGCTTCTCGTGTCGGACAAGGAGGTCACTGATGTCCATATAAGCATGCTTCTCGCAACAAGCGGGAAGGAAACAAAATTGCTAAGGGCGAATGATGAGTCCACCAGGGGCGCAGCGTCGAACCCAGACGACGGCGGTGTTCGGTCCAGTTGGGCAGGCGGGTGGAGGAGAGCTGGGGAGCAACCAAACCCTTGAACTGGAACTGGGGGGAAGCAAGCAGGCAGGGAAAGAGGAGGGGGTGGTGGGTTGTGTGGTGCAGAATGGCGCACACAAATCAAAAGGGCAGCGCGGCGGACGGACAGTGGAGGATTTGGAACTAGCAACCAGTAACTCACCGTCGTCCAAATGTTTTCCCACATCGAGCCCAGCCGCACGAAAAGGGCTTCTCTTTGGTATGAGTTCTCTCATGCCTCTGAACGTGCTCCACACGCCTAATATGAAGGAGCAATGTAAGCCAATATGCAAGAGAGGAGGCGGACGGAGGAGCTGGGCTGCTGACCTGAACCGCTTGCTGCAGTACTTGCACGGCAGAGTCTTGGGTTTTTGCTGCCGGTGTTCTCCATTCTCGTCGGCAGTACTTGACGGGGCCGGGGCCTCGATTGACTGTAGGGGCATCATGGCGTGCGTGCGTGGGCGGGCGTGAGGAGACCGGCCAGGGAGGATTGGGGTATCAGGATGGGATGGGATGGCCAGTAAGTAGCTCAAAGTAACAAACAGCTGGGGCGAGGAGAACAGCCACCGCAGCTGACGTGCAAGTGGAAGTGGGGGATGGGGATGGGGAAAGGGGGAGAAACCGAGTCCCAAATCGAGACGAAGGGCTCCCCAGAGGGATTGTTTTGTGGGGGGTAAACGCTCGTGCGAGCGGATGGGTGAATCAAGAAGCACAAATCATGCTCGCCGTGTTATATTTCAGCCCTGACGTTGCTCTCGATCCCCTCTGCTGGCTGGTGGTGGCTGCCGATACCCCTCGTCTGCTGAAGGCCCTCGCCCAATATCTCCGCCGCACTCAATGACTGGTTCCCGCTGCTTGGCGAGGACAAGATGCTCCCACGAGCCGTCGACGTCCTGTATCGACAGCCTCTCCCCCAAAGAGAGGGCAGCCGGCGCGGTGCAGGTCGCCCGCTGAGGATGAGCGGGGAGAGAAAGTATGACCTAGAATGACACAAGCACGACAGGAGGTCTGCGTCCGCGAAGCTGTGTGGGGGCGGGCAGCGAGCGGCGGGCGCAAACCTAGTGGAGAGACTTATGAAAAACCTGAACCCATGGAGGGGAATCAGTCGTCCGCGTGGGCAGCGGGGAAGCTCCTCGACCGAAGGGAACGTTCCCGGGTGGCGCTTGGCGTTTCAATAGAACTGCTAATCGACGTCCCCAGGCTGGCAGGTTGGGTTGGGTAAATGCGGGTGGGTGTTCAGACGCCGAGCTCGTGCGCGTGAGGAGGAAGCCGTTGGAGCGGGCGCGAGGGCAGAAAAAAAGAGGCAGATGGAGGAAGAACCGGGACGTGGAGAGCTTCGAGCGGAGAACCGACAACAATGCGCGCCAGAGGGGAGAGGAGCGCCAGGCACAAACAAGCGAAGCGGCGCAGAAGGCGGAGGCGGGGAAAAGAGGGACGCCCAGTCTGGGGCGCGCCGCACCTGTCTGGGGGGTCTGGGGAGTGGTCTGGGGGCGCTGGCTGGGGTACTCGGTAATCGGAAGAACTGGGGTGGGAAAAAGAGGAGAAAGAGGAGAAGGCCAGTCGTGAGCCGCGTCGAGGGGGCCTCTCCCTTCGCTTTGTCTGGTCACACGTCAAATGCACAGCAGCAGCAGCAGCATCCACCGCCCAGCAGCGGCTTGCCGCGCAGGAGAGTTGCAAGGTCGCAATTGAGCGTCTGAGAGGTCGCGATGCAGCGAGTCTGTGCGGCAGCAAGCCGGCGAGATCGTCTTCTTTC